TTGTCCTCTGGGAATCCAGCAGGCAAAGGGCTACCTGTGCTGGTCCAAACCCCAGCTTATATCCCTGTGAGCATGTTTGGCTCCTCACCCATGGGGTGAGTCACCTCACCATGGGACAAGGTGATAAGGATCACTGGGAGGATGTAACTCTGTGTCATGCATGGGTCCTTGACAGCCCATTAAACATGGATGGGTTTGCCTTTGCCTGAGGTAGGACTAACCAAACATTCTTTCCTAAAATGCCTTTCATGTACCACAGGGACTTTATCTCCATCCACTGTGAGCAGGGGTTCAAACTGGCCAGGACCAGCTCTACTGAAGGAGCCTGTGGTTTTTTTCCTCCTGAGGATGATGTGCCACACCAAGCGTTCTGACTTTAAGCATGGTATACGTGGTACAGGCCATGCTAAGCAGAACCAACAAGTATATGCCCTCCTTGACATTCAGTGAGAACTGTGTTTGCAAAAATTGCTGTGCCAGGCCTGAAAGGCTGGAAAAAACTGTCCCTTTTCCTTCCCCCTAGGGGTTGGGTGCCATTGATGAGGCTTCAGAAGTAGAAGCCAAGGCTAGGACCAGCAAACGAAATTGAGTATATACCCCAAATGATGTTCATTGCCTCGGAGGTTAACATGCAATAGATGTAATATACCAGTAAAGCAGTTCTCATACCATGCTTTGGTCTACACACAAGTATTACAGGCAGCAGGTAGTTCCCCCCCCAGCTGCGGAAAAATATAGAGACTTAGGTGCAAGACCTGTGTAAGCATTTTTAGCATCATAATGAATAGGTGGCTTCCTCGCTACACAAAAAAAAAGATTTGCTGGTTTGAAAGCAAACCAGAGATGATAATAGAATACATACCATTGGATACCCCCCACACTGCAACCCAGGACAGGGGGTCATAAATTGGGGGCAGATATCTCAGTAAAGTACCTGAGATAACCTTGGGATAGGGACATGCATCAGTCCGAGGAGGAATTTCTCCATGGCTGCTGATTCAACAGCAGGGCATCTTTTCTCACCCTTGTTTTTCAGCTGCTGGGTGCAGTTTCCAGCTAGAAACTACCAGAGTTCCTTCCTCTGCAAGGGTTTTGATGGAGCGTGGCCTTTGTGTCTCCATTCCCTCCCTCTGTTTTGTCCCCCTTACATGGTATTGTGTGTGGGAGGTCAGAAATGCTGACTGTGTTCCATCCAGAGAGTAGCAACCGTATTTTCTGTGTAACTTTTAACCCTCAGTGATCTTCACACAGACACGTGTAAGAACATACTGTTCGAACTGTGTGTGCCTTTTCCCTGCAGCACCTCCCAGCTATGCAGAAGTGGTCACAGAGGAGCAAAGACAGTCCAGCCTTGCACCCTTAGGTGTTTGTGATGACTTTGAGAGAGTGCTTCCAGGACCGTTGTTTGTGTATATCCAGGAATTCCGTTTTCTGCCTCCACCCCTCTATTCAGAAGTAGGTACCTCTGAGAGTGTAATTATGAATTGACTGTTAGAATTCTGCCATGTGGAATAAATGTAGGAAACTATGAACGGGGATAAAGCAACTTTGTTGTAGCAAGGGGCGGGTAAATTGTATCAACAGTTTTTCAGGATTCTTCATTATTTTAATGTTTTGTAGAAATGTACAAGCTGTTGTGTACCCTCTGGGCAACTTCATTACTAACTGTCATTATACATACAATACATTGCATTGGCAAACACCATCATTTTGAGTCTAGTGATACACAGAGCTAAAAATGTAAACTAGAAATTTTAGAAAGTAGAGCTGAAAAGATTAAGCATGTTGTGTATGTATTGCTTTCAGAAGTTCCATAGAGAGAAACTGCAATGGTGTTCTTTCTGACTTAGGTTCCTGGACAGTTCAACATTTCTGTCTGTGATTTTAGTTCTGTGAGAGCCACTCAATAACAGAAACAAAGTTTCGAAAGGTTTCCATGTTCGGATTTTTCAGGGACAAGCAGTGGTTTGAGATAAAAGTAGACTAGTGTTCTTTGGCTAAATTTTGCTTGGCCTCACCTGCTGATTTTTTTATTTTTTTTTTTCCTCTTGAAGCCCTTAATCTGCCACTGAATCAACAGTGAGTGGCATGGGTTTTGTGTGCTGGAGTCTTGTCTGAGGACTCTGCTATAACTTAACCTTAGAATATAACTGAGGCCGTTTTCATCTTAGGTACTTGAAGATTTAGAAAGAAGGCTTTTCTTTGTCCTAAAAAATGACTTTAGAAAATTGACTGATTTGCTGCAGTACATACTGTCAACTTAAACTATACTCGGGTCTCTAGACACTGAATAGGACGTTGGCATGTTCTTCACCTTCTTCCTTTTGTAGAAAGGAAGAAGAGGTGATAATGTGGAACACATGAACTTTCAAGGCATTTTATGGGATGTTTGAGGATTAATTACTTGTAAATTAAGTAAGAGTTTTTAGTAATACTTTTGTGCTTTCTTTAAGCAAAATGTCTTCCAAAAATCAATATTTTAAGTTGCATGTTAGTGATGAGTCAGGTTGTGTTTTTAGTGTACAACAAGTCATTCAAAATGCTTCTGTTCTACTTCAGCAGTTTTTTGAATTTTTTTATTACTACTTTGTGCTTATCTGGAAATTACTATCAACATGTAGTTTAAAATTTTTCACTATACTTACTAATTTTTCTTGCAAAGTTTTGTCTTAATTATCTAGAGGTATTTCAATTACATGAACAACCTTTGGATTGGCATTGCCATTTATCACTGATCATCTTAAAATTGTCAATTTTGGTGGGTTTTTGTTTGGGTTGGTTTATTTTCTAGCAATTGCCTATAAAAATACCTTGGGTTGTTATTTCTATTTTCTTTCGTTTAGATTGATCCAAACCCAGATCAGCCCACAGATGACAGACCATCCTGTCCGTCTCGTTGAAGGAATCCGTAAGAAGCTGACTTGACTTAGGTTTTTAAATCATATTGGCTGTGTTGAAGGCCAAGGCATCACAGTGGAGACGCACTTTCAGAGAAAGTGCGTTTCTTCTTGCCTGTGTGGTGAATAAATGAAAACAACCTGTGATGATGCTTCGAAGCCCACAGTGACATTGTAAGACTGCTCCACATGCTTGAAGACCTGAGCTTTTCCCCCTCCCTCTTAAATACTGGCACATACTAGGAGCAGCCTTAGTAACCTACCATCATGTGTGTCCAAACACTCAAACCACACTGAGAGGGATGGCTTCCTCTTATGATTTGGAAATTTGCACATGTTTGTTGCTTACATTGTGCGGTTCAGTGTCACTACAGCTCTTTCTCATTTATGCTGGACTTTTGTTAGCCCCTTCTTTGTTTGTGGTCCGCACAATAAGGAGCAAAAGAAAGCTTTGACAAAAAAAAAACCAAACCAACAGCAACAGACTTTGACAAATGCACTGACTTCTCTTTTTTAATTTAATGTAGCCTGGACTTTACCTGCATATGCACATGCTCAGAATTGTCCTAGTAGGCTGATCATATATCACCTCTTCAGCTTGGATCCTATTGTGGATTTATTTACAAACATCAAATGCCTTCAAGCCAGTCCTTTTTGCTGTGTGTTTTGCAGCCTACTGTAGTAGATAAGCAACAGATATGGGGATAGGGTTAGGGGGTGGAGAGTTAATAGAAACTAACAGACTTCATACCATTTTGATTTCTTTCAAGAATTTGTTGCCTTTCTACTATTATCACAAAGCAGCATTTTGTTACAGACTGCCTAAAAATCACTTAATCTCAGGTGAATTCATCACTTGCCAAACTGTTGGAATGCTATTTGTTTTGTTATGTTGCACTGTTGAATTACTTCTTTTTTGTTTTGTGTTTGTGTTTTTTGTTCTTTATTCAAGAGGGAGATCTGGAATAGGGACATACACAAAAGTTACAGAACCTGCCCTCATTCCCATTTCTCTTTCTACATTATGAAAAAATGATGTTCAAGTTGTGAAGCTTGGGGGGGGGGGTAAAAAAAACCCTAAAAAAAAAAAAGCACAAACGAAAGCAGCCCCAGCAGACACCAGCTCTCACCAGCTCTTCCTCAGAGGAATATTAAAAGGAAATAGTTGTACATTGTCTAGGATTCATAGACAAATCACTGTCTCAAGTAGTAGGGATGGGAAGGGAAAGTAAATTTATTTTTATATATAGCTACTTAATCACCAAAAATTCTATATGAGTCTAGTCAAATATATTTCAAACTGCAGGAAAAACTTGTACTATGCTAAGAGCTCAGTTTGTGCACTTTGTATTATCTTCAGGGTTTATGGTACTGTAAAAGATTAGAAGTGTAATTAAACTGGGCAAGGTCAGTGTTACCAGCCATAGTTAGATGTGAGTTAGTTGAAATTGCTTCAGTAATTGCATCTTCTGTGGTACTCTTAAGAGCTTTAAAGCAAAAAGAACAAGGAATTTCACCGTATATTTATTCACAATGCAAGAAAATACATGAAAGAGCAATTGCTCTTGAGTGTGCACCAAGGAAAAGAGTGCAATGGAGCCATTAGCTGCGCTAACACAATTGCCAGTACTTACATGCTAGAGATGTACAATGAAAGTCAGCTTTCCTTTTCAGAAATGATGTAAGGCAGACCACTGACAAAGGGACACCATTCTGGTCTTGACTGCTTAAATAGATCAAGATGTAATCCATCAAATATCTTACCTCCTTGTGCAATAAAACAGCTCAGAAGAGAGTGGGAGAAGGGAGGCTGGTGTTTCTGCATGGTGCTCATTCTTAAAAGCCTCTGCCTTGTTTTTAAGGCTACATAAATGTGACAGAATAGGCTTTTCCATAAGTGGCCTTTATGAAAACATGAAGGATAGTTCATGTTTCAAAAATGACAACAGGGTGATAAAATGAGTCACGTTATAAGTGATTCAATTAAAAGGCTTGGGCTTTGAGAAGGAATATTGGCAAGCAGGAAATTGGGTGATGTCTTATGTTACTAGGCCAATTTTGTGGATGTCCCTTCCCTCTACTCTCTCCAAACAGACAATTGTAAAAGCTGATGGGATTGTTGGCATAAAAGGGCATTTGGTGGTTTTACTTTCTTTTCCTTTTTTGTTGTTTTAACAGACTAGGGAACAATTGCTGATAATACATAGCATTAAAGTACTTATCACAATAAAATGGAAAATTGCATATGAAGCAGGATTGACCAATATCATAGTAACTGACATGGCATCACAGCTTTTTGTGATTCGAGTGAAAAATTGTATAAGCTTATCAAATAAAGACTTCCAGTTTAAATTATGTTGTTAGTTGTTCAGAGGCATTACTATTCCACAAGTATTGGTCAATTCTCAGCATTATAAAGCATGAGGTTCACAGTTGTAGCCCTGTATTTGATAGGTAATTCTGATCTGAATTAGGAAAAAGTAAGTAAAATCCAAACATTGGAGAAACAAAGTGCAATATTAAATGTTTGCTTTATAGATTATATTCTATGGCTGTTTGTACTTTTTTTGGTTTTAGTTTTGGTGCTGAATATGTTCTTGTAGACTCTGTTTCGAGAAAACAGTGTGTGGACAGTTTAATTTTTCCTATTGCTCTTCCTTGTGGAAAATAAACTTTTGTAAAAAAGAAGTTTTTAAATGTCATACCTATGTATAAAATAAAAACCACAAGGATCACATAATACAGGAACTTAG